CAGGAGCCCCGCGGTGCTGTCATAGCCGTGGCCCTGTCCCCAGGGGTCCCCGTGGCTGTGTCACCCCCAAAGTGGCCCCATGGCCTTGTCCTGAAATGTCCTTGTGGCCTTGTTGTCCCCATGGCCCTGTCCTAAAGGGACATGGCCCTGCCATCCCCACGACTCTTGTTCCTATGGCTCTGTCACCCCCAAGGTGTCCCCATGACCCTATGCCCAGGGGTTTCCATGGCCCTGTCACCCCCATGGCCCTGTCCCAAAGGTTCTCCATGGCCCTGTTGTCCCCATGGCCCTGTCATCCCTTAAGTGTCACCATGACCCTGCCCTGAGGGGTCTCCATGGCCCTGTCATCCCCAGAGTGTCACTATGGCTCTGTCCCCAAGGTTCTCCGTGGCCCTGTCATCCCCATGGCCCTGTCCCCAGGGATCTCCATGGCTCTGCCATTCCTAAAGTGTCCCCATGGTCCTTCCCTGAGGAGTCCCCAGGTTCCTGTCATCCCCATCACTGCCCCAGAGGGTCCCCATGACCGTGTCCCCATGGCCCTGTCCTATAGGGTCCTCATGTCCCTGTCCTCAGGGGTCCCTGTGGCCCTGTCCCCATGGTCCTGTCCCCAGAGGTCTCCATGTCCCTGTTGCCCCCATGGCCCTGTCCCCAGGGGTTTCCATAGCCCTGTCACCCCCAAAATGTCCCCATGGCCCTGCCCTGAGGGGTGCCCATGACCCTGCCACCCCCATCACTGCCTCAAAGGGTCCCCATGACCGTGTCCCCATGTGCCTGTCACTTTTCCAGGTCCTGGGATGTCCCAGGCAGGTGTAGGCTGCTGGGGACAGGATGGGACTGGGGACAAAGCAGTGGCAGGACACAACCAAGCACATGTGACGGTGACACCAACGCTCTTTATTGCCTGGGGAGGGGACACCCCATGGGATCGGGCTTAAACACCCTACAGAAACCCCGGGAGGTGGCGGGTGACACTGCAGGGACATGACTAGGGACAACCGGTCACACACTGGTGGCCTGAGCATCGTCACCACTCTCGTCCCAACCCTTCCGGCGTCCCATCCTCCCGTGGTGGCCCAGGATTTGGGCCATGGCGCCCCGCAGCTCCGCCTGCTCCCTCTCCAGCGCTGACAGTCGCCGCTCCTGCGAGGGGACAGTGTCAGCACCCACCCGGGTCCCTTTTGTCACCCACGGGTGCACCCATGGCTCTCACCAGCTCCCGGCTCTTCTCCTCGCTGCTCTTCAGCCGCTCTAGATCTTTCTTCCTGGTGCCTTCAGCAGCTGTCAACCTGGGGTGGGTGGGGGTGAGCCAAGGCCTCGACACCGTGGTGAAGCACCCATTGGCGTGGGGCACCCATTGGGATTGGGCACCCCCTGATTTGGGGCACCCATTAGTGTGGGGCACCCTTTGGTGTGGAGCACCCACTGGTTTGGGGCACTCATTGATGTTGGGAACCCATTGGCATGGGGCACCAACTGGTTTTGTGCACCCATTGACTTAGGGCACCCATTGGTGTTGGGCACCCATTGGCCTTGGGCATTGATTGGCGTTGGGCACCCACTGGTTTAGGGGATCCATTGGCGTTGGGCACCCATTGGGATTGGGCACCCCCTGGTTTGGGGCACCCATTGGTGTTGGGTACACATTGGCCTTGGGCATCGATTGGCATTGGGCACCCACTGGTTTGTGGCACCCATTGATGTGGGCCATCCATTGGCTTTGGGCACCCTTTGGCATTGGGTGCCCATTGGCATTGGGTACCACTGTTTTGGGGCACCCATTGATGTTGGGCACCCATTGGTGTTGGGCACCCATTGGCGTTGCATACTCACTGGTTTGGGGCACCCATTGGCCTTGGGCACCCATTGACATTAGGCACCCATTGGCATTGAGTACCCACTGGTTTGGGGCACCCATTGGCCTTGGGCACCCATTGGTGTGGGGCACCTATTGGCTTTGGGTACCCACTAGTTTGGGGTATCCATTGGCATTGGGCACTCACTGTTTTGGGGCACCCATTGACTTGGGACACTCATTGGTGTGGGGCACCCTTTGGCGTTGGGTACCCACTGGTTTGGGGCGCCCATTAGTGTGGGGCATCCATTGGCATTGGGCACCCTTTGGCGTTGGGCACCCACATTTTTGGGGCACTCATTGGAGTTCACCACCAAATAGTTTAGGACACCTTTTGGCTCGGGGCACCCATTGGCATTGGGCACCCACTGATTTGGAGCACCCAACCCTACCTGGCTCCCAAATTGGCCGCACAGGCGTTCACCTCCTCCAGCTGCT